AAAGTTTGTATTTTCAAGTTCCAAAATTATAGTTTAAAGTTACGATCTAGATATATAGGAAAAGGAACGTGTCAGTTTAAACTGATGCCAGAAGGGTGTAGGTTAAAACGAGAAAGTTTAAACCATTTAAACAAGAATGTTTAAATATGATTTTATCAACAATTATGGAACAACCTCTGGAGATCTTCATAGAAAGAAAAGTACTTTTTTTTTTTTTTTTTTGTGACATGTCCTTTCAGGACATAACCGATTAAGGCTCTCTACAACCTCCTCTCTTTTGCTTTCCTAAAGTAACTTTTGACACTTTACCATCCCTGTTTATCTTTGTTCTGTCATCCATTCACACAAACTCAGTAAGTAGATTATTTGCAGTTTCTGTCCTATGAGTGTTAAATTCTCTAAGCCTTCTTTCTGCATATTTGAGAAAACTTAAAGAAAATCCCCACTCCAGCAGGATTCGAACCTGTCCTCATTTGCAGGAGAAACCACCAACTGATCTGGCATGCCTTAACTGCTTGGCTAAATTCTATTTGCCTTAAAGAAAATCTGAATGAGTAAATTTGGTTTCATGTAATAACCAGAGAAGCTTTTTTGTCTGCAGTCAGCATGGCTGATGCTAAACTCCAGAATATGTTTCAGAAATTTCAACTCTTTCTCATTGTAGGTATAAGTTCCCTTGTTTCTATTTTCCTTAGAACTTCCTTGTTAATCACATATTCTGTTCATAGTATTCTTAAAAGTAGTTTCTTTTTAATACCAACAATTAGTAGCATTTTTAGTCACCTTTTTAAAAAGAAAAATTCACACAAAATCCCAGGAAATATTTTCTTTAAAATCAACTTTATTGTAAAATCTTTATTTTTATCTAAAAAGCAAGTGTGAATAGTTTTTGCTTAACAGACTTTCTTATGTTTGCCTATACATCAGTATTTATGCTATGTGTACTGTTTTCAGAATAAGATTGTACTTCTAAAATCTGATACTCTCTGTCTTGACATTTTTTGAATCTGCTACTAGAGTAGTTCAGTTCAATTTCAAACACAATGTGAAATGCAAGTTTCTTCTTTATAAACTTATGAAAAATGTGTATGATTTTATGAAAATAAAAAATAAAATAAAAAAACAAAAAAAAAACAAACAGTTGTTAACCACAGTTTGAAACCAAACTGAAGAACTCCAAATTCAACAACTTCTGATAACACTATTTACATTCGAACTATTGTCCTCATCTTTGTTGTCCTCACAACATTTCAGCCATTGTACCCTCTGACCTTCATCAGATGCATATTGATCTGAGTAACCTACAGGGAATTCCAGACTGAACTCTTTATTTAATCTATTGGGGTAGACTGTTCTTGTCCCACTGTCCATGTCTACGGATATTTTGTTTAGTTCTTATTTTTAGTTCAGTTCAGTTATTGCTTTTGATATTCAATTTAGCATAAAATTAGACCTGGATTTTTTTTTTCTGGATATTATTTTTGATATAACTAATTAAAAACAGATACAAAAACATAATTTTCCATTCTTATATTAAAAAAAATTATTTGATTCTATTCTTGGCATTTTACATGATCCAGCAATGGCCAGGTCCAAAGGTTGCTGGATGAGATACAAATGTATTTCTAAAGGAAAATATTAAATCTAAAGGTTTTTTTTTTTTTTTTTTTTTTTTAACATTTGCTGCTGAGCTTGTTTTGTTAAATATTAAAATATGCAAGTCATGTTCGGGTTGATACTGTGTGCTTGAATATTCTATTTTTACATAACAGAAAGTATTGGAGGCATAAATAAGTAAATACATGTATCATATAATGTAAGTATAACTTGAGGATATTCATGCAGGTTAATCTTAGCTGAATAAACATCCTTAAGAATTTTACACATACCATCTTCCTCTCAGTAACACTTGTGTTAATTTCTGACCTCACCCCCACCCTGCCTTCGACAGTCTCTTCCTTTCTGATTTTAAATGCACAACACACAGATTTGAAATTTATTAAAATAAATTTTCTCAGAAATTGCAGAATTTTGATAAATCAATTGCTAAGTCTGCAACTAGGACAGTTTGTTCACTGTGTTGTTGTGGAAAGTTTTTCTTGCCAAAAATCAATCTTACACCTTCATAAGTTTACCATTTATCTATGCATTGAATATTGTTGCTATGCTGGTCAGGTCTGGTGCTCCTGCTATGCATCGAGAGAATTTTGATAAAATCCAGATTATCTGCAATCAGTCCTGTCCTGACAGCTTGGCTTTAACCACTTTCCCACCACTGTAATATAGTTTTCCTGTGCATTTTCTATAAATATTTTTGTGGTAATTGTTCTGAATAGTTTTCTTTTTTGGTATCTAAAGTTCATGAATTTAAGTATAGAAACTAGATTGGCAGCTAATCCTAATCATTTCACTGTTGAAATTACTAGACGTAACCATAAGTTCTATTCTAATAGTGTTTTTTTTTTTTTTCTTCTCCTGTGGAACTCTATACTGGTTCCTTACTTCCCTGTCAACTATGATCTTCAAATATCAATCATCATCTTTTGTTTCCTCATTAATATTTTTCTTCATTTCTTTCACTCTCAGTAACCTTCTGCATCTTAGTGGTTTTATTGCTTTGCTTGGATGATTACAAGAAAAAAAAGTTGGTGTTTAAATTATTCCTTTATCACCAGAACTGTTTGGTCTATTTCTGGGGCAAATGACTAGAATGAAGAGATAGAGTAGTATTGTTGTAACCTAGGGAAGGTTACTGAATAGAATAATCAAACAAAGGTTGGTAATACTTACAAGAACACACATAAGATTTGCCAGCAGTGTGTAGAAGTAGTCAACTGCTAGAAGTGAGTCAAGTGAATTCCACAATGAATCTCCAACTACAGGATATCTACCAACCACCCCATGCAGTTGGATGTGGTACAAGGCTGAATTTAATGTGGGGTATCCGAGCTAAAAATTCCCCGTAGACCCTGTATAAAATGGGGCCAGGTAGCTGATTCCTCGAGACAAGACTCTGCTCTTTGAGATAGCTGTGTCTGGGGATCCTCTCTGCCCAAAGGCAGAGAGTTTGACCAGCACAGCTGGAGACAAATCTCCAACTACAAACCTACATACAATATTTACTATTGTATTTATGTGAATGGGGACATACCCATTATCATCTGTAGGTATTAAAGTTAGCATTAAGGAAAACCAAAATCTTTTTTTTATCTTATCTGGGATTAAAATGTAATTAATGCTAAAATACCACCATGATATTGTTTCACTTTCTAACAGTGACTATTCCTTCAAATGGAAATTTCTAACTTCCAGCCAAGTGGCACTTGATCCCAAAGTTTTTCATTAATTTTTCTCTTATTTCTGTCAGTGAGTGGTAGCTTTGAAGACTTATTCCACAGATTCTATTGTCTACATAGTCATAAAAAAAACTGCTGTGCTTTGGGCTGTGATAAAATCAGTCATAGTTCACTTCATGGGTGTTCTAAACCAATTGTGGGGGGTACAATTTATCACAAAAAATATACACAGCAGTTAAAATCAGCATGTGTCATAATGGGGGGAAAATACCATTGGCATTAATAAAACAATGAAATGGAGATTGTTGCAGTCACTAACTTCACAGCTGGTGAAATAAATTAATTTTTAATGGCTCAAATCTCTTGTCATTGTCAAAGTTGTAGTATGCAAAGTATTGTTGCCAGTTAGATATTCGATGTCTTGCTTTTGTATCAGTAGCTTAACTTTGTTTTTTGTCACATATATTAGTAGTTGCAGTGGTCTAGGAAGATAAGTTCTGTTTATGAGGTTGATATGCATGATGGTTTCTTTAGGTCATAACTACAGCTACTGCTAGTATCTGAATAAGGTGGTTAGTAATGAAGGACAAACAAATGAGAATTAGAATGAACTATTTATTTTGGGACTTTAGACATAGAATAAATAAGTTTTATTCATCTCCTTTAAAGTAGATATGAAATTAATGTGTTTGTCACTCAAAGTAAAACTGGGGTCAGTTTATGTGCGTTGCTGACCTACTAGTCAAAAGAAAAGAGTGGGGGGGGGCAGTGTAATCACCTTTCATAGTAGGCACATGCAGTAACCCTTAATTCTGCTCCTTAATTGGTTGATTCTGACATTATCCTTATTCAGGTTCCTTACTTTTCTGAGAAGTCTCCAAACAATTCTTACTTGGTAGCAGAGTGGTGATGACAAGAGAAGTTCTGGTGTGGGTTCATGAAGCCATGAATCTGTGGTAGCACAAGTGAGATGTCATTGGCAGGGTTTGTTCCCAGTAAGGCCTAGCAAGGTGTGTTGGTTGACCAAGGTCATGGTGGTAATGATGTGAAAGGCCTGGACTAGATTAGTGAAGTTTGATCAAGTGGAATGATCAAATGGGAGATCAAATTAAAATGGGGTCACAGTTGTGATGATAAGATATATAGTGGGTGTGATAATCTCTCTCACTCTTATAAAAGTATATGCCTTTTTCTGTTGTAAATGTATTCATAAAACTATTGCTCATGAGCACTTCAACATGTTGTAATGGATCATTTATGAATAAGTAGTGCTCCAAGCATGCAGCCTTGTGCCATATCTAAGCTACACTTAGTAAATCCCTTTTAGCTCTTTTAGTGTTAAAAATATATGAAACGATTCTTGAATAATTACCATATTTGATGCAGTATAAGGTCCCCCCCCCCTTTTCTTTCTTTTTAATTAGAAAGAAAAATCACCAAAAGCCCAGTTTGAGAGATTAATCCCCTGAAGGCATAAAATGAATATAATTAATTATAATTTAACTATAAATAGAAATCAATTATTAGCTGAATGTTGTTAGTCTGTTTTTTATTTTGACTTTTTTCTCCTAAATATTCCTTACCGAAATATATATTTCCTATTTTTCTCCTAAATCTTACCGTACCAAATTATAGCAGGAAATATAGTATTTAATTCAAAATAAAAATATTTTTACAATGATAAAATATCTTCTTACCTTACAGATCTATTTGTCTTTGCTGCCTATAATCGGAGGTGTTATTATAGCAACAATTACAGAATTATCATTTGATATAATAGGCCTCTTTAGTGCCTTGTTATCTACAATGGGCTTCTCTTTGATGACAATTTATTCCAAAAAGGTAAGTCTTTTTTGTTTTGTTTTTATATGGCCATTTTATTCATAAATCAATATCATTTTTAAGATTAGTAATTTTTGTACCCTTTATCTTAATATTTTTTTAATTAGATAAGCATTGTCAACTATTATTAATTTTTCATTAGTATTTCTTAATTTTAGTTGGCTTTCTTTACAACTATTCTGTCAGTCTACAGCAGTGAGTAAACAATGTAGACTGGACAAAGAATAGTTTCCAGGCATGACACTGACTGATGATTGATAATGCTTCATCTAATAAAAAAATAAAATCAAAATACTACTACTACTACTACTAATATTAATAGTGTATTTGAACAAGTAACGGCACTGATCAAGCTGAAAAAAAGTTTTTTTTTTTAGCAAAGAAAATAGTGGCTTACTTTGCTAAACAATATGTTGCATGTAGTATTTGCCGAAATCAAGACTTGAAAAGCCAGACTTTCTTTCTAGCTCTCTTTTATAAAGAAACCTACAGCACATGCAAATTGGTTGATCAATTGTGGGCATCTCAAGCTCTGACTTTTTGAGAGGTGGAGATGTATTTCTTTTGAAAGTGTGACCTGATTAGCTGATTTTGAGAATTAGATTTGATCATCTGCCAACTGTAAAAGCCCCAGTAGCTGGAGTAGCTATTGTATATAGGCAGGCTTCCAGATGTGAACTTGAATCTCAACTGGAGTTTATTCTTCATACCCAATCTGTTTACTCTCTGCCATAGCCTGATGGTCAGAGTAGTTGTAATGAAAAGCAACTAAAAATAAATTTTGGGCTCTTTACCAGTGGTTCTTTCCTAATTTGGCTCAGTTTTACAGCAGTTTTTTTTTAATGACTGCATATAGTTATATTGAGTAGTAAGTCATTAAGATAATAAGAATACTTATTTTGCATAAAATATGAAATGAGATGCAATTTTCAGATTTCAGTGTTATATTCAAGAAGTATGAAGTTGGAAAACAATTAGAATAGTCAATCATTTCAAAGGTTGATTAAATTTCAGGAAAAGTGGTCAAATCATCTGAATTTTAATAGAAGCCAATGAACCATTTAATTAATCCGTTCCCTTTATATTTTTTTTCAATGTTCAGTGGTATCTATGATTCATTGATTACTCCTGGTAATATATAAATCATGTTTTGCTCAATATCTTTTCATGTTAAAAATTTTATGGGTTTAATATAACAGTAAAATGGAAAGCTGTCTTGAAGATAAAGATTAGCAATAAAATGACGGACGACAAAGCCTATTTCAAGACCAATTTGAAGCAAGATGATGACTTAATAGACAAAGGTTTCTGAGTGCCTCAAATGAAAGTCTTGAACAGCTAAAACTGCAATCTAAGCAATGTAAGATTAAAGGAACTGATTAAGTGGTTCATTTTACTCAGAAACTAATTTTGTCTAAATGTAGTATAGATTATTAAAATTACTAAGGGAAGTAATAACTCATAATTTACTAACTTAAGTTGATTTATCCCCCTTTCACTACAGATGGGAAAGAGAATATATAAATAAATACACATTGATAATTATATGGTTTGATGATTGATTAACCTATTCTTGTTGTTAATAATGGTAATTATCACTACTGTTATTATTACTATTAGTGGGAGCAGCAGCTAGTTACACTCTCTTCAGTGAAGAGAGTTCTGGAGTATTAAAAAAGACTTGATGTCACTTGATCTCTTATTAAAATCAATAGATATTGTTGATGTTCCATTAAATGAAAAAAACTTTTATATTAGAAAAAGTTTTTTTTTTTTTTTATGTCAAAGATTAAAAATGCAAATAACACTGGTGAAATTATATCCTGTCAGTACTTTAACCTTTAATTCTTGACCACTGATACTCATTTTGCAAATGTTCAATGTACACCAGACATATTGAGAACCAAATCTTACTAAAACTGAATTTTAGGTTACAATTTACAAAATTTGGCTCTTAATCCACATTTTTAGTAACCCCCTCCCCCCCTTACCACCCCCTTTTTTCTTTGGCCTTTATTGTAGATACATCTTAAGTTCTAATTCAACCATGTTGGGTTTATTTGGTAGAAAGAAATGAGAAAACCAGTTATTGTTTTGAATTTGTTGTGTTTAAAAAGTAGTCTTACATGATGTAAGATAGATATGAATTCATTATTTTGTCTAGAGAAGAAACCTAATTTTTTTTTAACAATGGCTGTACTTTGGTTTGATGAATGCAATGAGAAAGGCCTTTGAAAACAGATTAATAAAAGTAGCCCTGAAATGTGCATGGTTGACTGACTCAAAAGAATAAAATTAAAATTCTTAACAAAATGGCTACCTAGGATGTAATTTAGAATACAATATGTGGAATAAATTGGTAGACTCCTATTATCTCCTACTCAAATCTCAGCCATTTTTTTTTTATATTGTAGTTTAAAACTTTCACTGCTGTATTGTTTATACCATTGTTGCCTGGCTGTGCTGGCCTGTTTTACAAAAGTAGGACATTACCATTTACTGGAAATAAATGACTATAAAGATTCTAAGAGCTATAGTTTTTTTTTCCATTATGTTTTTCATGGGCTCTGCTATTTTGGTTTCCATAAAATACTCTACAGACTAAGCTAAATAACATCCCCAACACATAATATAATAAAAAATATATTGCAAACAGGTATTGTATGATAAAGTCTATACTGGTTTGGAAATAGCGCTCTTAAATTTCTATGTGCCATGTCCCTTCAGGACATAGGTGATTGTGGCTCTCCACAATTTCTTGTCCTTTGTAGCTCTTAATAAATTTTCTCTCTTCATTATTTCTCTTAAACCTTGTTTCACCATCAGTTTACTTAAGCTCACTAAATATTTTATGCATTGTTTTCCTCTTGCCTTCAATCTGTCCTGTGAGTATCAGATTGTCAAGCCCTCTTTCCTTATGTGCCCTAGAAATTTTAAATACCTCTTCCTGATGTTAACTATAAGTTTCCTTTTTATTTCCATCTTCTCTAAAACTTTGTCATTACTCACATATTCGGCCCATGGTATCCTCAGCATCCTTCTGTAGAACTACATTTCTGTTGCTTCAAGTCTCTTCATCTTTGAGAAAACTGTCCAGCATTCATTGCCATAGATAAATAATTTCACAGGCTGCGCAAGGCAATAGTTAATTAAATAATAACCTATTATTTCTTAACATTACTAAACACTGCACACTAATAAGTGTTAAGTAGAATTGATAATGTATACTTTTTTATGTAGTAGTGTTTAATCAGTTTTAGAGAAATATGATTATTTTATTGGTTATAATAAATACTAAACTTATCTTAATTTGGTACAAGATGATGTTTTTGCAATTGTCTACATTGTTAAAGGGTTGTTATACACCACTTGTGAAATCTCTTGCCTTCTATGTACATGCTGTCAGCAAGCTCAGAATAACAATCTTGCCTGCTTTCACTATTTCAGTGCTTTCAGTTGTCCCACATATCCAAGACCTGTAAATTAGCACAACTAGTGCTATACAAATGTGTCAGTGCTACTCGGTCACTGTTTCTTCAAATGGCCACTCAATCAAAAAGATATACAGTATCTGGTGAAAAAGTATAATTTGGGCTCCCTGTCCGGAGGGGAACAAACCAGCAGAAACAATTCATTTCTACTTCACCTTCACCAGACGCACCATAACCAGTGTATCTTGCTCTTTTGGATCATTTATTTTATACACAAGGCTGTAATACTGGAGAATCTAATATACAATGGAGTCTATCTTGCTCATCACTGTACAATGATAGATATCCATTGGTTAAAGAAAGTAATAAACCATTTTATAAAAGTAACAGCTTAGTTGTCGTCAGATTTAAAAATAAATTTTGTACTAAATCCACAAATAGTATTTATATTTTTATATTTACTGCTTTTAAAATATCTTTTTTGTATTTTTTTTTTGTTTTTTTTGTTTTAGTACAGAGATCCACCCCACCAAATATTTTTCTTGATCTATATTCCCGCCACTTTAATCTATGGTCGCACTTACTCTCTCTGAAACCCTAAAATTTCCCTACTAGTTTAGAGTCGCTGATTTAATATTAGAGGGTACTAAAAGGTTCTTGGTCAAGCTGACGACTGTTCACCCAATTAAACATACACCCACTCACCCATTTCAAAAGTCGGTCATAAAAAATTTATTGGATGGTGAATTGAACTTGGAAATATAATCTTTATTTTTATAATTACCAGAAATTTATCTCCTGTGTCTTCCCCCCCCCCACACACACAGTGTGTGTGTGCCAGTATATGTGTATATATAATTAAAAAATATATCTGTAAAAAGGACTATGAATAAAGACAAAAGGAAAGCGTTTTTTTTTCCTCTGATGGTCTTTATCAAGACAAGTGTAAAGATTTTATTTTGCAGCAAGTATTTATAAACAAAAGTAAAAATGTTGTTGCATTAGTCATACTTAATTCAACCACAACTCTGATCTAAAGAATACCATGCTTATTAAAAAGAGAAAGTAACTTAGACGGAAAATTCTCGAGGATGCCACTATTGAATTTTATCAAAATATAAATCTATGTCCCAGATTTTTCCAAATATCTATTTCTGAAAGAATTACTCCTTTCCCAAACTAACATACCAGATTATAAAAATGTTAAAAGATGAAAAGGAAATGTTTAAATTCATAACCTCCATTTATTTAAAATCTATAATACTGGGTGTGATGGGAAAATTGTCACCATTTTATATTTTTAATTTTGTGCATGCATGTTCTTTGTTTTTAATTTTGTTGACCGCGCAGTATAGTAGGGTCAGTTTGACACCGTCTGTGAGAAAAAATGTACCATGATGCAATTCATTCCACCAGAAATTTGGAAGCAGTATGCTGTACTCTTTGGAATTTACACCAGAAGCTCCAATACAAACATTTCAGAGTGTTTGGGTGTCAATTGGATAAATCTAATGGTGATTACAAAGGTGTTTGGAATGATCACAAGTGATGGTGACATTATGCTTGCAT